CATGTGTGCATTTGTGCATGTGTATGCATGTATGTGTGTACATGTGTGCATTTGTGCACGTGTATGCATGTATGTTTGTGTGTACACGTGTACATCTGTGCATGTGTATGCATGTATGTGTGTGTGTACATGTGTGCATTTGTGCATGTGTATGTGCATAAACATGAGAGCGTGTGGAAGCCAGGATATCCTTCTCAATTGCCTTTCAGTCTTATGTATTCTTCTGAGATGTGATTTCTCACTGAACCTGGGGCTTGCTATTTTTGACAGGCTGGCTAGCGAGTCCCCAGGATCCAGTTTTTTACCACATGGCACTGGGGTTGCAGGTCCCTGCTGTTACTCTGGCCGTGTAGGTGGGTGGTAGTGATCTGAGCTCTCTTCCAGCTGGCATGCTTGTCCTAGCTTCTTCACTGACGTGCTAGTGAACTTTCTGGTTGGTCTGCTGTTATCATATCACACCCAGTTCCAAAAGTTGCTAAGTGGTTATGCTATTCTTAAAAAATATTCCAATCAGTGGTCCTGTCTAATGGAAGCCAGGTCCAAAGGAAAAAAGATGACTTTTTTTTTTGAGATTGGCTTTGGCCTTCAACTGGTAGAACCTCTGCTACAGAGCGTAGCACGAGGGTTCTAGCTTTTTCCTGACTAATTATGTTTGATTTGAGAGGAGGGTGGAAGGAACTGGAGGTGATAGTTGGGCTCACCATCCTGTATGGATTTTCCATAACCCAGAGCCCAGGAAGACAAGATCTAGCAAACTTTTAGGTTGAAACTCCCCCTGCCTCTGTACATTCAAACAATGCTTACCTCCTGTTTTGGAGTTTTTCACTTAATTTCATAGCCTCTGTGGACTCAGAATATCCTCATGGTCTTTTGGCTGGCTCTCTGTTTTTCTCTAACCTCAGATGACTCTCTTGCTATGGATCATGTCAGTACATTTCCTAACAATGACAATAGCTGCATGGTTCTCACATTAAGGTCATTGTAGTTTACTGTTCTCTGTGCAAAGGCCTTCACGCTGCATTAGCATTCTAGTTCAAGTTATTCTAGATAGATCTTATCTTTATATAAAAATCACCTTGCAACATTTCATGTCTATGGGAATAATCCTTTCAAAACAGTTTTATTTGGGGGTATCTACAATTTAATATTTTATGTAGGAAGAGAATTATTTCATCAATAAAACAAAGCAATCTTAGTAATTTCTCACTGCCAACTTCTGTTATATCTTAAAATTACGTAAAAGTAAGGATTGCTGAAAGAGCACACTTACTTGGTTTCACAACCTTCAAACATTCCAGTTTTGATGAAATATGGGCAAACGATGGTGCTTTTAATTTTAGATTTTTGCTGCATAGTTAATTCAAGGAAGAGGGACTCAGCCAAGCCAAAGGCTGCAAATTTGCTTGAAGAATAATCTGAAATAAAATGATACAGCTTGAAAAATTTTCATAATTATTTAAAAATAAACCTTTTCTTCTTTTCTGGCTCGTTACTGAGGACAGAGTAACTCCATACCCAGTGGGGCCAATAAAAACACTGAAATCTTTTCAGTTTCTCTTAAGCCAAGAATACCAATGAACCAATAGGCAATGAACCAATAGGCATGTGCATGCACATGCTCGTGCGTGCACACACACACACACACACACACACACTCCAGTTTATGCGTTTTTCAAAGGTACATGAATGGGAAGGAGTGCCCCTGGCCTTCTGTGTAGGGTTGAATGTTTCAGGAGTTCCATTTGGGGCAGGAAGAGCTTCTCTGCATTCTGGAAGGGCCCACAGGGTTCCTGGGGCAGTAGGAGAGTGTGTGGTAAATGGAAATACGTACCTGAGAGCATAGTAGTACCCACGAGTCCTGCCATGCTTGAAATGCAGACCAGGTGACCATGGTCAGCTTTAATCATGGCCGGAAGAAAGGCCTTACAAGTCTGGGAAATATAAACACATTAGTTGATTAATTATTCTCAGTATTCTGTAAGCATTTGATGAACTTAATTAGTCCACTCATGGAATTTTTCTCTAATACTCACGGTGTGTTAAATTCCATGGCAACACAAAAGTAGGACAAAAAGAGTCACTGTTCCTGAGAGAATTAGAGTTTATTATGCCCTCAGATATAAAAAAAATAGTGCATGTTTTCTTTTTCCTTTGAAGTAAACCTTACTAATTTAACCAAATGAGATTTTTACACTCGTTGGGTTCCTATAAACTGTAGCAATTTTTAAGGTCTTAGAGTTCTTTATATAATTTTGACAATTTGCATTAAAATCAATCACACTTACCTTCCAGACTTTACTATCAACACAATTTACCTTCACGTTCAGGAAGTAGCAGTAATGGAAGCAATTGCTAGAGGAAGATGAGCCCTGCCAGAGCCAAATGGAACTTTACCTGGTAAGCCACTGCCACGTGGCGATACACAGACTAACAGAAATGGGTTAAATTAATATGTAAGAATTAGCCAATAAGAGCTAATGGGCCAAGCAGTGATTTTGTTAAAACAATTTCTGTGTGGTTATTTTGTTCTGGTTGGCCAAGATGAACAAGCAGCCTCCTCCTACAAATTGGCACCAACATGGTGACCTAAAATCCACTTTAAACCTGAGAAGGCTTGCAAATGAATTCTAGACACTAAAAAACAAAGTTTAACCACAACCCCTCACTTCCTGAGTGGGGAATTGATTACTGGTATCATTCTGTGGCTCTCTTAAGAGAGGTTTTCCTGATTCAGCAGTAGCAGCAAAAAAACAAAACAAAACAAAACAAAAAAACCAAAAAAAAAAACCCCTGCAGCCATTTTGAAATGCGGGCTTTCTGGGTCATGCTGTCAGCATGACCTTTGGCTCTTTCAGGAGACCTAACATTTGAATGGGATTTGTGAGCAATATGCTATGGCTTACTTGGTGGCAACATGGACTGGCTATGTGCCTAGAAATGGGGCATTGCACATGGCTTTCAGAGGCAGTGAGCAACTCCACCATGCTGGACTGTGTGGAGCAAGCAGAAGTACCATATGTACCCTAGTAATGCTGCAGCTTAAGTTTCTAAGAAGTGCTTAGCATTTTAAGAAGTGCTCCTAGACAATAAAGAATTACAGATACACAACAGGACAGATTCAGACATGAAAGACCTCTAAATGGGTCAGTGTTAGATAAATGTACGTAGGCTTGGAAGAGAGAAGAAAAAGAGTATAGAGAAGAAAAAGAGTATAGAGAAGAAAAAAGTATACTCTTTTTACTTAAGAAAAGGAAGTAAATGGTTTAAAAAAATTAAAACAAAGTCTTCGAAGAGACAGAGTACAGAAAATGTAATAGAATAAAAATAAATAAGCCACGTAAAGATGGAAAATTCACAGAGAGTCTGGATTATGTATATTATTGTGTCTTTAACTTTTTTGACTGTGAAGGAGCTAAGTACAGACAGACATTTTATTGTATGGGTTGCTAAGGTAAACCAACATAAAGGTATCTTGACTTTAAAATTTCAGTCTAAGAATATGTTGCTTTGGAAAAGAGGTTCTTCTTTTGTTTCCACAGAGGATGAGAGCTTGTGGATTGCTTCCAGACTAATATGGTTTGATGAACCAAGACCCTCTGAAAGGTTGGCATAAACACCCCCCAAAATTACTTCACCCAATTAAAAGCAGGAAGCAGTTTGGATAGAACTATGCTCATATTCCCAGATATTGTTTATGAATGTTTCTTTATATTTAGAGGTGGATATGCTATAGAGATTTGTATTGGTATGGATCTTGGTTAATTGATGCAAATTTAAGATCAATTTTGCTTTATGTATATTTCTGCTCTTGATTAAGGTATTCTGTTTGTCCAGCTCATTTAAAAATGTATAAATAAGAAATATAAGTTAATAGATAGTCATCTATAATAGTCAAGTTTGTCATGTTAAATTTTACGGATGAAATATATATATTGAAATATATATATATCAATTAGACAGGCATTCTTCAAACCTTTCAAAGACTACAGAATATGAAATTTAAAATGTTTTAAGAATTTAGGACTTATCATGACAGTAAGACACATCTGCTCCTGGCAGTACCAATCTACTTCAAGAGAAAAATGGGCATTGATGAGACCCCTTATGGAGTTGGTTAGCTTTGGGCAAGAAACTGCTCTTGCCTGGACTGCTTGATGAACTGGACACACAGGACCCACAGAGAAATGACTGCTGAACTTGACTAAAGGTAAAGACAATCCTTCGGGGTTCCTGCTTCATGAAAGAGTATGCTCAACATTGTGCAGGACACAGAGGAAAGTGACTGACAAACTGCCAATATAGGTGGAATCATCTTTGAAAGTTCCTGCTTTGTGAAAAAGTCTGCTGGATACTATGGGCCAGTAGGCTCAAGATGGATGCCCCAGTGGTACAAAAGAACTTTGTGTGACTGTCCAGGCAGCGAGATTTCTCTGTCATTTTTAGAGTATTGAAAGTTGCTTACAATGTACTTCCTGTTTACTTAGGTAATATTATATCCTTCTAGAGTCTTTGATGGAGTTGAAAATCGTTATAACTATAGTTTCCCTTAGTTATGATAAAAGATAAAGTAGATACAAATACTGCAACTGTAATTCTTGCTTGATACCTGTTTTGTTATATGTAATTTTACTAAGTTAAAGTTAAAACCTTCTTTTTTATTTAAGCAGAAAAGGGGAAGTGAAGTGAGATTTCCCTCTGTATGCTGTGATTACCATTAATGAATAAAGAACTGCTTTGAGCCTATAGAAGAGCAGGGTGGGGCAGAACAGAGCTAGGTGAGGAGGACTTGACTGAATGCTGAAAGAAAGAAGGGTAGAATCAGAGAAAAGTCATGCAGCCCCACATGAGCCAGACAGAACTTTACCCAGTAAGCCACTGTCATGTGGCGATATGCAGATTAATAAAAATGGGTTAAATTAATATGTAAGAGTTAGCCAATAAGAAACTAGAGACAATGAGCCAAACAGTGATTTAATTATTACAGTTTCTGTGTGGTTATTTTGGGGATGAGCACCTGGGAACCAATAAGCGGCCATCTCTCTCCAACAGAACTCATTCTGTGGCTGCTGAGCTAAGGCTCTAGTCTCTGTGTGGTTGATGGTAATTGTGTTGTTCTGCCATTTCAAGTCCATGCACAGCAAAAGCTAAAGGATCTATTCCTTACGGTTATGGCATCTTTCTCTTTAAATGATGAAACCCTGGTCATGACTGTTAGGTTGGTTGGAAATAGTAAGAGCCAGTTATTGTCCTTCAGCTGAAAAGCTTGACGCTTCCAATTGAGTCGTACAGCTATTCTACGTGACCGTCCACTAGACCTTGTGAAATGCAGGGTCTGGAAGCCCTGGTAGAGGTCCCACTGTGATACCAGCTTTGCATCTGAGAACTTAGGAATTTTCAAGAAAGAGAAGTGAATGAAAGCATGGAAGATGCGTGTCAGTGCTCCTTGGAGGTGAAACCACATGCATGGAGGCAGAGAAAGCTCCCAGGTATGAATGAAGGTTTCAACTATAGCAGCCAAATACTGGTAGGACAAATGTCCAGGGGATCTGTAAGTCATCTGAAAGGATTAACCATTTTCAGAGTTTTATTTTGTGCTGGATTGGATTTGCTGCTATTTTTTCTGTCTTTTCAATGGAAGATAAAAAGATTGGGTGTTTATAGGAGCCCTCACCCCTTATCCAGAGGGCCACATTTCAAGACATCTGTTAATGCCAGAGCCTTGGAGAGTATTAAACGTATTTGTAGGATATATTTTCCTATGCATGCCTACATACCTGTGATTAGTTTAACTTATAAATTAAGCAAGTAGACAAACAAGAGTGACTAATAATAAACCAGAACAATTATAACAATATACCATGACAGTTATATCAGTGTGACTTCTCTTTGCTCAAAATATCTTAGTGTATTATATATATTAGCAACTTTAACATATAATTTTTTCCTTACTGAAGGAAATACTTTGTCTTCTCCTTGACATATAAAAATTGACAACATTACTAACCTTGTACTTTGAGGCCATTATTAAGTAAATTATGAGCTCTTTGAGCACAAGCTGAGTGGCACCCTAACAGTTGGCTTTGAGAGGGTGACCACGTGATTGATGGGTAGGAGCCATGTATTGTGGATACATTGACAAAGAAATGACTTTTTGGGTTGGAATGATATGTCTAAGATTTCACCATGTCACTCAGGATAGCACATGACTTGAAGCCTAAGAACTCTTATGTCTAGAATTTTCCATAAAATATATTCAAGCTGTGGTTGAGCAAGGTTAACAGAAACTAAAAAGCAGAACTATACATAAGAAGGGCCTACCATGGGAAAGGCTTCCTGGAACTGTACCCATACCATATTGGTGGAAGCTTTTTAAAGGATGTTATGAAGATGAGTTGATCCTAGAAATGACTAATCCATACTCTTCTATGGGTATTATTAAAGGGAAGAAAAAGTGCAGAGAAGTGTTCATTTAGCAATCATTCATTGTTAAATCATTAAAAAAGAATTTTAAAAAAACTCTGTGAAGATTTTTTGTGTCTGCTTGTATATGTGCATGGGGTACATGTGTGTGTGTGTCTGCATTTGTGGAAGTACATGTGTGTGTGTTGTGTATGTGTTATCTTCCTTTTGGGCTTCTGTAGTTCTGCTTCTGCCTAACTGTTCTTGTCACTGAAGTATGTCAACCCAGAACATGGGTTTTGTCCTTTAAAGATCATCCTGAGAAAGGCTTGGGGCTACACTGAGATCCTGAACACCCAGTGTGGTCGCCTTGGCAGCTGATAAAGTCTTTCTCTTGACTTAAACCCATGTCTGAGCAGTTTTCTCTGGTGGACACCCCAGAGCAATAGTAAACAAGTGTTGAGCCACCAAGCACAGTTTTCACTTTTTAAAAAGAACAATTAATTGAGATGGTAAGTTCAGCGTTGTGTATTCCTTATCTTCTGAAGGAATGAAGAGATTGGTTGTTGATGCTACTTTGAAAGATAGACATGGGATTTTATAGTTAAACTGCTTAGAATTTAACTCAGATAATTGGTCATGGAGAAGTAGAGTCTGACCAGGTCTTGGAGGAATGTTGATTCCCAGATTCCAATTGATATCAAAATTCAAGGCTATACAGATTTCTTATACAGCATGATATAGTGCTATGTATAATCCAATATCATTCTCCTGCAAATTTTAAATGCCTGTTACTTATAACACATAACTCAATGTAAAATATTATTTTTATACTTTACTGCTTGTGTAATAATAGCAAGCAAATGTTTTTATATACTCACTCCAGATATAACATCCTGTTTCAAATGATTTCAATTAATGATTGATTGACTCTGTAGATATGGACAGACTGTAAAGATGTAGAATACGGAATTAGTGAGGGGTAATTAATGTTTTATTCTCTGTTCAGTATACTGGCAGACGTGTGAGAAAGCACTTTCCCTTTGTTCTTGATTTGTTTCTTTAAAAATTATTATAATGCTATTTTTTATAAGGAGATTTTTGAACAAGTTTATAATGTGAGTTAAATGTTGCTTTCTTGGTTTGCTTATAATCCTGTTTATGCAGTTGTAAGTACTTGCAAGATAGAGTGAAATTCTCTGTGAATTCTTTTTATGGTGGTACCAGAATCCAGTGAAAAATATTTGTGGGTAACAAAGGAAGACAGTTTTTGACAGACCAGGAATCTTAGCCGTATTGAGAAAAATAAATCTCTCTCAAGACGTGCTATAGGAACAGCATTTGGAGAGATCTATGGAGAGCTTGACCATCAAGTTTTGGAGCAGATGAATCCAATTCAAGGGAGAAATATACAAAATAGTGAGTCTCTCAAATTTTAGGAATGAGTGATGACTCCCTAGTTTTGGATGGAAGTGGATTCCCTGGTTCTGTTGGTTGCTCAGACTCAACATCTAAATTTGATGATACTCACCACAGTGGCTTGTGTGTGTTTATTGATTCCTTTCACTGTTAATTGTGTGAACCAGTTAAGGCCACAACTGAACTTGCACACAATATAAAAGTACAGTATCAATGACTACAGGAGGCCAGAAGGATGCAAGGCAGGAGAAAGAAGAATCTTGTCAGAGAGAACAGCTCATGCCAAGACCCCCTGAGGAGGGTTTGACTAGGGTTTAGTCAGGATTTCAGGAGTAAATGGAACATGAACAGAAAATGAAGGTGAGAATGGGGAGGCAGATAAGAGACCATTACCATGTCTTGCTGGAGTTTACAAGCTGTGCTATGGAAATGTACTCCGCTCTCAATGTGTTTGGCACCCTCTGAATGAGGGTTGTTTGAGCTGTGTGTTGTATGAGATTGTTTGATTAATACAGCAAAAATATCAACTTGCTTCCATACGAAGAGAAGTTTGAAGGCACTGGTGTTGAAGATGGGAAACTGTGATAAGCTGTCAGTAAAGGGAAGAGATGGCTTGGACAGCTGGCATGGAGCGGGGAGAGACTTGTACTTGAGTGTGAGTTGTATGACAGGTACGACAGTGTCAATGAGAAGGGAATACAGAGTGGTTTCTCGGTCTGTGATGTCACTGGGAGTGTGTGGACCCTAGTTACACCTACCGACATGGTATTGACCATCAACCAAGGTACACGCTTAGGATGCCGATGCAGGTAAGGAGCCATCAGCTTGTGGAAATATCTATGGGAACTCTAAAGTATGTAAACAATGTGTTAGCTGTTTTATTACTATCAACTGAAATAAATTTGCAGGCTCATTTCATACCACTTCCTGGTGACCAAAGAAGAAGACAAATGTTATAGAGACTATAAACATTGTAAAAATTTTGAGTGACAATAAATAGGAATTAGGAGACATGAAACAAATCCATTTCAAGGTCTCTCAGAGGCAAAAATGATTGAGGCTCTGCTGTCCCTGGTAAGATAAATTATCCATAGCCCTGGCTTCAATTACTCGAACATCCTGCATCTTGCATGCATCACCAGTTACTGGTAATTATTTTTGTATTATAACAAGTGTAATCCCTCTCAGTAGAAAGGACTTTGGTAATCCCAGCTTTCTTCTGTTTCTGACCCTCTCTGCAGAGCGGCACCATCCAAGGCATTAGCATCTAGGCATTTGTGGCTAACTAAATGTACATTAATTGTTATAAATTATATATTATTATCAAAGGGCGTAAATTTAAGGGTTTAACTCTTCATTTCCATCAATCGTGTTTCAAGTGGTTACCATATTAGGAAGCAGACAGAGAACATTTTTATTGTCAAAGGCAGTTAGAGATGTCCCTGAGAATTTAGAGTAGGGCAAGACCAGGAAAAACTAATCTAGGCTAGGTAGACGAGCCAGGGGAGAATGAGGCTTCCACTACCTGCTTCAACAGGAAACAATCAAATGCTGTATTTACAGATGAATGACTGAACCGTTGCTTGGGATTTTTAGACACACGAATAAAAACGAAAGAGAGACTTACCCAGAAATGAGAGATGGCGTTGACAAGAAACGATCTTTCCACCATGTGGTCTGGAATATCAAGGAAGGGCTTCCCTGTCACGACACCTGCATTATTAACGAGAATGGTGACATCACCTACTTCTTCTCTAACCTGGCCAGAAATGAGAAAAACATGACATCGATTGAAGCGTTGAAATTTTTTTTTTCAACTTTTTGAAACAAGGTTTCTCTGTAGCTTTGGAGCCTGTCCTAGAACTAGATTTCCTCTGGAAATCTGTCAGGGAAATAGCAATAACTTATATGGTTTTGAGAGTCTCTTAGATTCCTTGGATGAACAACTTGAAAGGGGTTTCTCATGCCTGACACTGGAGCTTTTGTTAGGAACTCTACAACTTTTGTTAGGAGCATTGTCAGCCCTAGTGACTTAACTTCATTTAACTAGATATGTTTATATACACTTATATGTAGTGTATATAATTCTAGACAAATAAAAAGTAATATAACTCCTCATGGCTTTTTGGAACATCCTTGGTATTACTTTCCCCTTCCTGCATCCCTCTCCTTCTGTATTCATCTTCCTGTCCTCCACCCAATTAAAACCACCCCTCATTTTTACCATTTCCTTCTGCATATCACTTATACTGTCTTGGTGAAGACACCATGCAGTCTGGACATGAAGAATCTGAGACAGAGCTGCCTTCAAAGTCCCCCTCTTTGAGGACCGACTTCCATAGTAATGGAAGGTGCTCTGGAAGCTGCTAAATGAGGGAGAAACCAATATTACTACCCTATGGTAACACTGTGAACCACAGCGGGCCACAATATCCCTAAGGGAGCAACAACAGCACTCAGATCTTGGCAGTAATCTAAAATTGTCTAATTAGACCTAGGGCCCACTTAACAGGAAGACGATCATTCCTGGTACTGGACACCTAGACAATTTTCAGGGGCTATTGACATCTTGGATCTTTGAGGAGCATCCACTACCTCCACTTAGTAAACCAGTGCAATATCTAACAGCATTGTAAATGTTTACTCTTAATCTCTCAGATCCAAGAAACTTCTCTTTATAACAGATGGAGACCATTACAAAATAAACCATAACTGGTCAACACACAGAGAGCTATTGATTGCGGGGTACCCAGCTCCAACTGATACGTGACAATGGGCCACTTATACCTAAGGCTCAGGCAACAGTGAGGAAGAGGGAGCAGAAAGACCATAAAAGCCAGAGGACCAGAAAGTCTGGTCTCCTAGACTTGACAGGGAAGCTACACCCATGACCAATCTCAGCAATCTCAGCAATACGGCTGCCTACATAAGACCTGAGCAAGGACAACACCAACAGATGTGCTAACAGGGAAGGGGGATATCTCATGGGGCCCAACCTCTAAACAAATCCTATAGACAATGAAGGAATGCTGAGAGAGGGAGAAATGCTCTTCTCCAGGAATGAAGCCCCGAATTGGTTAACCAACGTGTGTGTGTGTGTGTGTGTGTGTGTGTGTGTGTGTGTGTGTGTGTGCATGTTTTAACACTGACGGAGAAAGAGACCATGAACTTGAAAGGAAGCAAGTAAATGGGGGAACACTGGAGGGGCTGGAGGAAGGAAAGGGTATGGGGAAGTAATATAATTATATTTTAACAACGAGAAAGAAAAATCCACAAAACAGCAAAAACTTATTGTGTTTCTAAACCTTTATTACATTACAAAAATGAACCATTTAAGTATCAAGTTGGATGAATTTTGGTCAATTCACATACCTATGTAACCTCTACTTTAAAGAAAACATATTTCCAAGACCCCAGAAGTGTTTGTACGTCTCCCTTCTTGTTTGTTCCATCTTGGATCTGCAGTTTCCTGAGATTTGGTGCTCTCAGGACATGAGGGAAGCTTTGAGATGTGAGATCTAATGGGGTGTTTCAGTCCTTGGAGAGATTTTCAGTGGGGAATTGTGGGTGTGGTATTGCCCTTCCATTCCTGGCCACATCGTAAGCAGGAAGGTTGCTGTGTCCTGTACTCCCTGTGCTGAACTGCTGCCTCCTGACAGGCCTCCGTGGTTCAGTCACCGTGGACTAAAATCATGAGTCGTGATAAACGCATTAATATGATTTCCTTAAGAACATGGCCTGCTATACATGGCAGAAACCATCTCCCTCTCCCTCTTTCTTCTTTCTCTTTTTCAAACTAAGGATTAAATCCCGGGTCTTGTGCATGTTAGCTGAGCAATCTACTTCCAAAATTTTGCTAGCCCTCTTACTTCGAGGCTTCAGTAAGTGGCTTCAACCGGGGCTCTGTAGCCCAGTCAGGATCTGGGCCGTGATCCTCTCACCATTGCCTCCTGGGCAGTTGGGAAAACAGCCAGTGGTCCACACACCCAGCACAGCCCATTCCCTTTCTTGCATCTCTGTTCTTGTTTCTTTTCTGCTGGTCTTGAGTGACCGTGAAGTGTGGGGACGCTCTCTGCATGCATGTCTCTGAGCATATCTCTTCCTGCAGCCATTAGGCTTACTGTGCGCATGCAGATGCCTGAATGATAAATTTGATTGGCGTCACTTCCCTGGCTCCCGTTTGACTAGGTCAAGTCAGTACTTGGGATGAAGATATACAATGATGTATTTGATCTATTACCCAGAGAGTTTGGCGATGCTGTGCACTCTGCCCTGAAAACTGCCTCTAATCTAAATACTATCTTCTACTGTGTTTTTACAAGCTTTAGTCTCTTTCCACCTCCCACCTCCATAGACTACTTCACCTGCTTACAAAACCCAGTAAACACCTGAGTCTTGTTTGGAGTAAAGCACACTCCAGGAAATACTAAGCAAACTGTTCTCTCTCCTACCATGTTTTCTCAGATTATAACTTTGAAGATCACAGGGACAAAGCTGATGCTGGGTCCAAGTAGGAAACAGGTTAAGCAATGACTTGAAAACTTCATCCATCTTTTTTAAATTCTGAAACAAATCTTTTGGCAGATACAACGACTCTTTTTTTTTTTCCCTTCAGACAAGAAGAGCTGCCTACCCTGACTTTTCTACTCCTGGTCCACGCTGTATGCTAAGCCTACCAGTTGGAGCTGCTTTGGATAGTTCGGGAAAACATTGTTGTTTATATAGGTAAGTGGGGGTGGGTTGTTAAAGGGAGACTTAATAATGCAGACTTGTTGGGATTAGACCTCTGTGTTTTGGAAGCATGTAGGCCTAAGGAAACATCCGTGAGAGACTAAGGACCTCTTACTGGTTTAGTGGGACAATGAGAGTAAGACTAGAGAGGGATGTCTGACCAAAACAAAGGGTCGAAGGAGGTGAAGTCTTTTGTGTAAAATCTCTAAACATTCAGGGAATGAATGGCCACTCAGGTCACTCCCAGGAAAAGTCCTGCCTCTGAGGGACACTATAGCAGGAGAAGGATTGTCTAGATTATGGGGTTTAATTTTTACTTTGGGAAGATATTTCGGAAGGCATTATTGTAGGCCAATGGTGAGAAAACAGGCTACAGGGAATTAAGAACCTGCCCAAAGACTCAATGCTGAGAGGAACATTGATTCATGCCCAATCTTGAGGCACACACAATACCTGCCTTTACATAAATTTACTCTTCTTCCTCACCAAGATTATCACCTCAGCCTTCCCTGAACTCACAGTCTTCCTTCCCCAACCTTCCCAATGATGGGACTACAAGTGTGTGTGCTGTATTTGACTGTATATGTTAACTTTGTATGACGGAATTGACAAGTCTTTTCTTCCTCTGCTTGTGAAAAGCTAATTAACGGGCCAGTTGAAGTGCTGTCGTGCTGAATGTGAACTTGTTTCAAGGGTGAGGATGATGTTTGCCACTTGTTAAAGTCTTACATTTAAAGGATTTGGGGTTTCCAGTACTTAATAACTAACAAATAAGCCAAAAACGGGATAGAGTGATCAACTTAGAAAAAAATAGTACATATTAGACTGTGGCAAAGAAAAACAGATATATTCCAATGGCAAATATTTTCAAATTTTTAGGATGCTTTCCTACTGGACACCAAGGGAATTTTATCCAGAACAGAATGTTTTGTAGGGGACTGGGATGGTGGCGCAGGAGATGAGAGTGCTTTTCAGAGTTAGGGGAAGGCTGGGGAATGTCCTCACTGTTTACAGTTCTCTGGAGAAGCTCCTGCAACAAAGTAGCAGGGCTCCAGGGTCACTTAATATCTATAAGATGCCTGACACATGACCTGGCTGATTTCCTGTGTGCTCTCCCTGCCTTGTTTCATTATTGACAAAGTAGCAAAGCCATTGTTCCTGCTTTGTTGTGAAGCTTATATATGATCAGAGATAGAAGCAAAGGCCTTTCCAGGCACCCTGAGCTGCCTGCTGCCTGCTGCCTGGTTCTGAGACAGGAGCCCCTGAAAAAAGTCACAATAAGGTCACCTCAAATGCATTCTGCTAGGAGCTCTTCCTGCCATGTTTCTTTCCCTTTTGCAAAATGAGGACCAACCCTGACTTTCCCCTGAATCCAGGGAGCTACAATGCCCACACTGTTATTCGCTGTCAGTGAGTTACACAAACCCAAAACCTGTGGGTCCCTAAACAAAGAAAGAGGAAGAAGAAAAGCAAAGAAGCACGCAGAGAGAGGTTCATAACGTAGCAGGGTGTGGTAACTCAATAATTAAGTTTAATAAATCAAAACATGAATGCCGCAAATAGAAACTGGATGCAAAGCAATCCCTTGGAGATGCTGCACTCACACTGTATGTACCAACTGCCTGGCTGTGACTGTCTCTCGCCAGTTTCTGCCTCGAGATCTTGGGGGAGTGCATGTTCAGCGCTCCTGGAGTTTAGCATCTTGTTTAACGGGAACAATGGGAGCGACACACATCTCAGAAGGCTGAGGTGAGTTATTAGGTGCACAAACTGTTTAAAATAGTAACTAACACACTAAATACACTTGCGAGTTTTGTTTGTTCTTTTGTTTTTGCTTGCTTGTGACTCTGGCTAGAAACTGGTACATTAACCCTTTTGAGAACGCCATTAATCCTGTATGTCCGACTGCTTCCCTTCACATCCGACCACTTCCCTTCACACGATTACCATGGTGTAGGTTACTGATAACGACCTCAATCATGCGAGAGTCACTGACTAGAATACCAAGATGTCCCTATGCCCTAGAGACCTTTGAAATTGTTCAAATGATCCACTTACTAAGTAGCTTGCCTGCTCTTTTCTGTGGAAACAATAATAAAGGCGTCTGCCTCCAATTTCCCTTCTGCTTCCGGCCACACGGATGTTTCCATTTGGTGGTTCCCTGTGTGCTGTACTAGGTTGTGCTGTGCCTACCAAGGGAACTGTGGGTAAAGGGGAATATCGCACACGAGGTCAGACAATGCCAGGAGGTGAAGTGTGAGAAGAACGCCTGCATGCTGAGTACTTCCCCCGTATACTCCATGTACCATGTTCAAAACATACAATATGGCAGTAGGCTTGCCGTAAGATGGGAAGGGGATTTCAGAGTCATTAAAATCTTGAGACAATAGGAAGCTAGAGCTGCCTGTAATGCCGCCAGCCACTAAGCTTTTCATCTCAAGGATGTGGAAACAGGGGTGTAGAAAGGTGAATAGCTTGGTGAAAGTTGCACAACTGAAGCAGAGGAGCTGGGGCTTGGCAGAGTGTCGACCGACCGGGGAGGTTGGGTGAATCACGGAGCAAAGCCACCAGACAGGACCGGACTCTGAAGTAAGTGAGTTACTAAGCGAATCAGTCGGGCGGAGCTGGGCTCTGAAGCCAAAGGGAGCCCTGCTCCCCCTGTTACCCTCTATGCTGCTTTTGGAGGCCGTAAAGTCACACTTAAGGCAAAGATAATGAAACCAGAAGTACCCAACGATCTTAGGAAGAACCGGTAACAGATTACTCCCTCGGGTTTGAAGGGAAGCGCAGGCTAAAAGCAGTTTTCTCAGCATGAAAGCAAAGAGCGGCAATAAACTCACCTGGTCGGCGACTCTGTAGACCTCTTTCCTGTTGCTGCAGTCACACTTGTAGGTAAAGACCTTCACACTGCCCTTCTCTTTGGCCAGTCTACATGTTTCCATGTTACCTTCTTGATTAATATCCCAGAGAACTAGAATGGCCCCGTGGCTGGCAAAATGCATGGCCAGTAGCCGTCCAAGTCCGCTTCCAGCTCCTGTGATAAGGACAATCTCTCCAGCAACATCCTTTTTCCTTTTAGGAATTACCTTGAAAACTAACGATTCTAAAAAGTAATATAGAAACTTGGCAAAAAACAGGGCCGTGTCTGCCACTGCATTCATGCTGGTTGATTGAAGAAAGTAGTGTCCTCCTGGGGAGAAAAGCGACACGAAACCATTTCATTTCAACAGCGACACTACAGTGCGTGCTTCACTGAGGGCAAAGGCTTTCTATTTGAGACATTGTTTTCAAATTACGTGCCTTAGTAGAAATGGCCAAAACTGCTGAGCTGGGAATTATACGAACAAGGATTATGAGAGCATTTTATATTAACAAGAAGCATCTTAATGGGCTGGAGATATGGCTCAGTGGTTAAGAGCACTGATTGCTCTTCCAGAGGACCCAGGTTCAATTCCCAGCACCCACATGGCAGCTCACAACTGTCTGAAAATGCAGTTCCACAAGATCTGACACCTTCACACCAATGCACATAAAAAAAATAAAGTTAAATAAATCATTAAAAAAAGAAACATCTTAATTTATAGGCTTTCTTTTCCAGGTAATCTGATTGATAGGTAGGCCACAGACGGTAAGAGCAGCTGTGCAGGTAAGGGCACGAAGTCTAGTAAGTTAAGACTTTGGACACTTGGTCCAGTCATTTTCTACTGTATTGTCCCATTTTTCTATTGCTGTGATAAAGACCATGACTAAAAATAACTTTGGGAAAGAAAGGATTTAATTTACCTTACAGCTTACACGAAGGGAAGTCAGAACAGAATTTAAAGGCAGAAACTTGAAGCAGACACGGAAAGCAGAGACCGTGGAGGGTGCTGCCTACTGGTTTGCTTATCCTGGTTTGCTCAGCCTGCTTTCTTATACAATCTTTGTTCCTCTGCCCAGAGGCGGCACCACCCACAGTGGGCTGGGCCCTCCCACATCAATCACTAACCAAGAAAATAAATGCCTCTCAAACTTGTCTGTGGGCCAATGTGATTGAGGCAGTGTTTTCAGCCGAGGCTCACTTTTCCCAGATGCCACCGGCTTGTGTTAAGTTGAGAAAAAAAAAAAGTAAAACAAGAAACAAAGCAAACAAAATAAAGTTTCCATGTCCTTTCACCTGTTTTAATAATTTTTGAGAGGAACAAGCCAAGTATTGTTGTCTTATACTGAAGCAGCAGCTATCAAGTACTTTCATTGGAAGGGAGTGTCAGGCAGCTAGCTAATCAAGAACATAAGTCTGCCTAACTGTTCTCCAGGTATTTACAACTGGTATAGGCTGATAGGCTGTTCTTGGAACTAATGGGTCTTTTGCCCACAGCCACCTTTAAAAAAAAAGTTAGATGATTTTATATTTGGTCATCTTTTACTGATTTTTGGTAGTTTTCTTCTGTCATACTTTAAGAATCCTAGACTATCATCTTATGGAGCCATTAAATAAAGAGCATATGAAATCTGTCCTGAAGCCAGAGGACTGCAACAGAATGCATAAAACATACTGCTGTCAACTACTGTTATTAATGCCATAGAAATTCACACGCCAGGCAAATCCCAAGGGCCGGCAGGTAAGTCATTGAAGTTTCACAAGGGATGACCATCTTACTGAAGAAAGTGCAGTCAATAAGAGGCTAAGGAAACCCTAGTTAGTAGCGGGGGAGAAAAGGTTGACTCCACATCAGGAAGGACCTCAGTGTCCATGTCCTTAAATCTAAGTGATAGAAATGTTTTCCTATACTCAGCAAAAGACAAAAGTTGATTCTGACAAGAAGAATTGTCTTTCAAGACTTTCTGTCTTAAACCAGCCAAGAATTAACTTGGAGATGTCCTGCTGAGGATGGCAAAAGACCCAAGGTGGTGCCACCTTGCAGTTAGCCCTATCTTGCCAGGAATCTCCACTGAGAGAATATGGAAAGGGAAGAGTTCTGTCTCCAAATCATTACTGTAAATATTTATGTGGACTTCAGAGGGGAAGGAAGGAAAGGAAGAGAGTTAGGTTCAAATAAGGTGTCATGTTTTAAAGATGATAAGTTATAGTCTGTACCACTGAGGAAGAGAGTGAAGCTCTGAGACATGGCAGGGAGGTAAACACAAGGCTCCAGCATGGTAAAGAGGTACAGGGTGTCCCCTAAGCAAATAGCTTGGCCTCAGAGCGGAGTGACAGGGAGAGTAGTTATTAGGGTACTGAAGGAAAGTATGTAGAGCGGATTGGCTTCTAGTTTACCTAGAAGATTTCCTTTCCAGCAACTTACCTGGATCTACTGAAAACATTAAGTCTATTCTGTGAGGTTATGCGACGGATTTGCACGTACCTTGATTTTTAGAGTTAATGTTGATGGCCAGTTTCTAATTACGAACAAGATCAAGATAGAGAGAATCCACTGTCTTCTTCTCCAAGTGCGTATAGTCCTTGCTGAGTCAAGCACAACCTCAAATAACAAGGACTTCTTTCAGTGATGAAAGAAGACCATATCTGATCTTCTAGTAAAAACAATTGCAGGTATGCTGAAGAAGGGGTGTTGGACCAGACAGGACAGGGAACCAATGAGGTCTGGGACTTGCCTCTGAATGGTCTCTTCTCAGAATGCTGATTCTCAAAGGATATGATTGGAAGTATCTAGGAAGGAATTCAATTTACCTTGCTATAACTTTATCTTCTACTTCGTCAACATTTTATGCTTGGAACTACTTGGAGGACAAGAGACTTGTATTTTTAAGACAAGGCCCATCATTTAAATGCCCACTGAACTGCATTTTCAGACTACAGAAAGCATTCAATTTTGGATCTAAGTTTTAGAAATACAAACAAACCCTGGTGTAGCTAGTGGTGGCCATCAGAATTATTGTTCTCAGGTGGGTGCTTGGACACTTGGGACTACAAAGGAATCAAAAAAATATCAGTATGATGAGTAAACCCTTATCAGGTGTCATGACCTATTCCCTGTCTTATTATTTAACACTCTGTAGTCCAGAGGATTAATAAGAAAGGTCACATAGATATACAACTATCCAAGGGTTGCACCACTCAGGAAGAGGTTTGGATTGTGTTCCCGACTCCATGATTGTAGAACCCTTCCTTGTCCGGCTGCTATAAAGACAACTTCCTCAAATAACTTTCAATAAACTAGGCCTTAACTCATGAGGGCCTGCCTTCATTGTTTTTCAGGCATATAGTAAGGGCTTTAAGTTAGAGGACGTACTGTTAGTTATTTGTACTGCTTTCACATGGGTTTTGAGACTGGAATAAGCAGGTTTATTTTTGGAGGCATGGATTCCAGTGCTGTCTACTCCATGAAGGATTTCGGACAGTCTTAACTTTTTTGAGTTTTGGGTTCTACATCTGTGAAGTAAGCATACTACTGACATCCCCGGGACACCACATGCAACAGAACAGCAAATATAACAGCAAATAGAATTTTTGCCAGCTGCAAATGCACTGCCAAGAGAGTTTCAGTTCCTTTCAGAAACTCCTCTTTGATGATGACATCAGATCTGCAGTCATCCATCCATATACTTGGTCAATAACAGCACCTGAGAAACATCTCTGGGGTTTGCAGCTGGAACTACATGATAAAACTGTCCAAGAGAACTTGAAAGAGGGGTTTGTATAGGAATTTACCCAAGTCACATTTTATATTCTGTCTGTTGGTAAGTGTGAGATCCTCGTAAAAGAAAATATATGGGTTCTTGTATGCATACACCATGACATACACAAGCCACATGCAGTGGTTCATGGGGTGTCAACTAGCCCATGCAAGCCCTAGAAGTACTTTCCCTCATTCCCTGGGTATTTTCCTCCTTCCTTCATCTCACGTTCTCCTTAGTCTGACAAAGATCACAGAAAGCAAGGGAAATCTACTAGAAATGAATAATAATGAGCCATTGGAGCTAGTCAATGCTAACTCATGACCCCATCCAGGAAATTCACTCAATCATACTGAGAAAAACAACTCTTAACAATGGTATACAGCGTGTGTTGAGACCAAAGGATCTAATTATACTCTGATAAATATTGTATTCAGATCATGTGCTGGCTTGTTTTATGTCAACATGACACATGCTGGAGTCATTTTGGAAGAGGAAACCTCAATTGAGAGAATATTCCCACCAGACTGGCCAGTGGGAAAGCCTGTGGTGGATGTCCTTGACTGGTGAACAATGTGGGAGTGCCCAGCTTCACTCTGAGTGGTGCCGTCCCTGGGCTGGTGATTCCGGGTGCTATTAGAAAGCCGGCTGAACCAGCCACGAGGAACAAGCCAGTAAGCAGTCTCTCCACTACCTCCACATCAGCTCCTGCCTCCAGGTTGCTGCCCTGATTTACTTTAATGAGAGACGGTGATGTGGAAGTATAAGCAAAAGAAGCCCCCTCCCTCCCTAAATTGCGTATGATCCTGGTATTTTATCACAACAGAAATCCTAAGAGAGATGGCAAAGGTGTCCTCAAAGAAGATGAAGCAAACACTGTGCCATAGCTGGAAGCTGTGCTTCATGTGGATTTGTTTGAGGGCTCCTCCCACGTTTTTGACATCTGTCTAGTACCTGTCCCAGAAACATCAACCTTGGGAATGTGCTTATTGTCTCCTCCATATTTTCAGTGCTGCAATATATGGCGCATACCTTGTAAATTCAGCTGTCAAAATAGCCTGGGGTAAGGGATGTGCCTTTGTGTGCAAAAGCTTTTCTCCAATAAACAAGCATGCACTCCCTAGAGCTTTGCAGAGCTCTGTAAGTTTTGTGAGGGAACACTTCACCTTTCTGCTTGATTTTCTATCTTTTCCCCTGGTATCACTGCGCCTCTGCCATCAGGCCTTCGTGCATCCCCCAAACCATTTCTGCCTAGAATGCAAACACTTCCTTGGTTGTTATTACGGTAAATATGAATAAAGTTGCTGACTCATTCAAACAATTTGATGGTCAGAATACATTTTTTTTACCTCCCTCCAGTTCTTTATTATGAAAAATTTCTAGTAGTTACAAAACTTGAGGAAAGGTCACATAAACATCCCAAGAACATATACTTAGCTCGAGCAACTAGACCAAACATTTTACTGCATCTGATTTTCCTCTATCCCTCGAGCAGAATTACTTGTAAGTAAACTTCAGAGGTCATGGTGCTGTTCTGCATATACTCAAGTGTCTTCTAACAAGGAGGGCATATCACATAACCACAATAAAATTATTAGCCCTAATAAAATTAAATACATATTGACATGGGTTTCTCCTCTGCCTACTGTAAATATGCTTTGTTGCCATTGGTTAATAAAGAAGCTTTTCTGGACAGTAGCTTAATAGAATAGAGCTAGGCGGGAAAACTAAACTAAATGCTGGGAGAAAGAAGGCAGAGTCAATAAGAAGCCAATTAGCCTCTGTCAGGGACAGATGCACCATAACCTTGCTGGTAAGCCACAGCCATGTGGTGATACACAGATTAACAGAAGTGGGTTAATTTAAGATTTATAAGAGCTAGCCAGAAATACACTTAAGCTATTGGCCAAGAAGTATTTTAAATAATATAGTTTCAGTGTGATTATTTCAAGTCAGGGTGGTCGGGAAATTAATGAGCAGCCTTCCTCAAGAACATATCAGCACCTGCTAGTAATCCACATACTAGTGTCCCCACCTGACCTGAATATCAATTACAGGTATACACTGCATTTGGTTGTATCTTTAGTACCTTTTGCCTAAAAGGGCTCTGCCCTAATAAATTCAAATTTATTGAGAAGATTCTTATAGAATCAGCGGGCATAGTTGTAGGATGGCTCACATTCTCTGATTTTCTTTTCCTATGCATTAGTTACTTAGATTTTCTTTCTCTGTGTCTCTTGCAAAGTCCAAGTTACATTTAGGGGCTTTACTACAT